CATCTGCAGAAATATGGTAAGACTAATGACTTCTTTCTCTTCCTTTTCAAACAAAAATATGATTATGATGCTTCTTTATGGTGTAACACCCACAACACCTCAGTACTGAGTTTCCAAACCAGAAATAACTGCTGAGACTGAAAAGATCAATATGACAAGAATGATTAGAGCTTTGGATCATGCATGTCACCTACCTCAAATCCAGTTTTCTACATCTGAACTCATATAATTCCCAGATTAAAAAGTTTACATAAGATTTATAAAAAGCCTAAAATAATTCACACCAATCCAAGGTTATGAAAATAAATAATGTAGCTTTTATCCTAAAGAGAGTATATCCTTGAAATTCAGGCTATCAATTAGGATTCAGGAGATGCAGGTTCAATTCCTGGTTATTATTTATATCCCCTGCAGCAGCACATTCCAGATCTCCAACTTTACCTTGAGTAGTATGATTACTAAATTGATTCTCATCATCTGAAGTAGAACTGAGGGTTAATCCCAAGTCTTCTATCCTCTTCTTCTGCTTATTTTGGGGGCTGCTAAATTCAGGTTCAGTCCTTCTCTTCATGTTTTCCTGTATGAGCTGTATAACGCTGAAAGAAGAAGATCACACTTGGCAAACATTAAGCATAACTTTCTGTAATGCACAGCAGCATGGTAGCATAGATCATGTCATGATGTTCAGTATTAGTATCAGTATTATTCTCAACATAAATGTCTTTAGGTTAAAGTCTTGGCTTCTTTTGAATTTGCCTTTGTAAACATCTAGTCTTAACTAATCAAATGGGAAACTGATATAGAAATTTCCCTATAACTGATGAATTTCAAATCTCTTCTACAACCTACTTATCCCCAAATGCAAGTAGATCAAGTTACCCAGATGTAGACTGTTCAATAACTTAAATATATGGGAGCTCATTACTACTACTGAATTGAAGATTCATTTTATCCAAACACATTGAAAAAATGTCAGATCCATCTAATGGAGAATATGCAAGGTGGAACCAATTCCTCACAAGACTCCAAACAACTCTGACCTCACCTCTGCGAATCTTAATAAAGGAGCTTTTCTGCATGACTTTTATAACAGAACTTTATTAAATATGTGTGCTCAAGTTGTGCACGCAGTTGTGTTTTTCACCAGGAATCATTGGCAAAATATCCAGTTTCTGGATGTGGCTGATAAATTTGCATAAGCTCAGAGAAAGGTCTAATGCTTAAGATGGAGTTAACAGAAGCCAGCTTGGAAGGCTTGCAGAAGACAAGAAGCAAGGAAAGGGAAAAATTTAAAGGCAAAATGTTTTAGCAGACCAGCTAAAACCTCCCTGCAACTGCAAAAAAAAAAAAAAATAAAAGAAACTGTAACTTGATTAGTGTTTCCTATACTACATAGAATTTTTGGGCTATAAAAGATACCCCAGGTCACCAGTTCAAACCTTTGGTTATCAAACTTATTTCCACAAACACATACAAGGCAGCTTAAGGCTAAATCCTTTCTTTATCCCCACAACTCTGACTGCAAAATGATCCCACAACCTCACTGCACTATGGCTAAGAAATCTTCTCCCTTATACCAGAAGTTCTATTACAGACAACTAACCTTTATCTGCTCTTGCCTCACTTTAGGGTTTTGGTTTTTTACGCTTTATCTCTAAGAAACCAGCCATTTTATATTTCTTCTGAGAGAGCCAAATGAGACCAACACTCTTAGCTCACTCCTACCAGCCCGCTATCAAGACCCCCACCCTCCAAACCCAACTAAGGGTCCCTCAGCACACCTGACTTCCCGACAAATTTCAAACCATGCAAACTTAGGGGCAAGTTTGCCGGTCCCTCAGGAGTCCTACAGCCCCCTTGCACCGCACCACCGGCCTCTCACAGAATCATTTAGGTTGGAAAAGACCTCTGAGGTCATCGAATCCAACCCATGAGTGAATACCACCATGGGAACTAGACAATGGCACTAAGTGAACACCTTTCACTTTGAACACCTCCAGAGATGGTGATTCTACCACTTCCCTGGGCTATCCACTCCAACGCCTCATCACCTCTTCTGTAGAGAAATTCCTCCTGATGTCCAGTCTAAATCTCCCCTGGCAAAGCCTGAGGCTGTGTCCTCTTGTCCTGGGAGAAGGGGACAATCCCTGCTGGTTACACCCTCCTTTCGAGGGTTGCAGAGAGCGATAAGGTCTCCCCTGAGCCTAATCTTCTCCAGGCTAAACATCCCCAGGTCCCTCAGCCTGTATCCTCACAGTACTTACCCTCCAAACCCTTCACCAGCTTCGCTGCCCTTCTCTGCCTCTCACCCCGTCACGCCGCCCGCCGCGCAGCCCCCGGTGGCAGAGGCCGAGCCGAGACCTGCCCGCAGGCGGAGGGCGGGCAGCGGGGAGACGGCCGGAGCCGCCGGCGGCCGCGCCCCGCGCTGACCCGCACACGACCGGGGTCGGCGGACAGCGCCGTGCTGGAGCGGGCGGCACTCACTCGCGGCAGAAGCGGGGCAGGCGGCGGGCTCCGAAGGGCTCGCAGAGCGCGAGGTCGCTGCCGCCGCCGCTTTCGTTTCCCCGCTCCGACGCGGCGCCGGCGCCGCCCCCGGCCCGCCCCTCGCACGGGGCCTCGGCGGCCGCCGGCGCGCGGCAGTGACGCACCGCCTCACGGGCCGGACCCCGGGCAGCCCCGCCCGGGCGGAAAACACCGCTTAATAATTTGTAAATATACGGATATAAAAATGTTTATCGATCGTGTAGCGTAGCGGAAGGTAGGAGTGTTTTTAGGCTGGAGAAGAGGAGGCTCAGGGGTGACCTTATCGCTCTCTACAGCTCCCAGAAGGAGTCGTAGCCAAGCGGGGATCGGCCTCCTCCCCCCAGCAAGCACTGCCAGGACGAGAAGGCACAACCTCAGGCTGCGCAGGGGAGGTTCAGGTTGGACAGCTGGAGGAATTCCTCTCCAGAAAGGGTGATTCGACATTGGAATGTGCTACCCGGGGAGGTGGTGGAATCACCATCCCTGGAGGTGTTCAAGGAAAGCCTGGAGGTGGCACTCCCATTGCCTAGTTCCCATGGGGCGTTCAGTCATGGGACGGACTCGATGACCTCAGAGTTCTTTTCCAACCTGATCCTGGGAGCCGTCTTGTACTTTGCATTAAGCTCGAACCCTGGGGACATACAGCTCAGCACACAAGTCTGAGTGCTTAGTCTTACAAAACCAAACACGGTAGGTATCGAGAGACAGAAGGATCCTACTTGAGAAGTGTAGCTCATGGTTATGGTAGTTGCTGTTAACTGTATGTCTAATAGGCTGAGTTATGTCAGGACGGGAGGATGAGGAAATAAAACATTGACTAGTCAGAGCATATTTTTGGAAAAGAAAACCTGCACTTCTACTTGGGGGAAGGGGGGCACAGCTGGATTACTGAATTGCCTGTTACACATTCTGCAGTTAAATTTGACAGTTGTTGCTAAGGCTCTGGAGCAGGATGCTTGCCTGGAATGGGAAAAACAACTCAAACAATGACTATGGGAAAAGCTATCCATGGAAAATGAAGAAGGGGTCATCAAGCTGCTTTTGATACATAGTAATGCTGAAGCCAGTATGACTCATCAGTCCCGAAATTAAACATCCTGATAGTGAGATGAAGATGTGATAGGATACACCTGGTAAAATACCCAGAACCAGTAAGTGATACTACAGATAATTTATCTAAAGTTGCTGAGCTGACACAGCTAGCCTGGAGACCTATGACTGACAGTCAGTAACTTCATACTATAAAAGCCCAGTCCCAAATTTTAAGGGCATAGTCTTCTAATATACCCTTTCTTGAAGTGTATGTGTGGAGATTTCTCCCTTGACTGGGGATGCTGCTCAAGGTTACTCCTCATGACTGAGCAAAAGAAATTAGTCCACAGTCATGGGTGAATAACATTATCTCTACTTAACTGGGTTTTTTCCCTAGTTTTAATACAATTGCTTTAAAACAACTGCTTCAGTATTTCATCATAGTGCACTGTAAGAGCTGTTCTACCTCCTATACTGTGTGGTAAATAATTCTGATAAAGATCTTTTGTCCAATCGTTATCATAATAAATTATAACATATTTATAAATCTGGTTTGCCATCCTTAAATCCTTCAGGACAAAGTTGTATAAAGGTTCATTTTCACCTATATAATCCTTTCGACACAAACCACTGACAGTCTGGGGCTAAGACTGGATCCAGCCACATCCAGGCTCCTCTGATAAGGATTTTAAAAAGCAAGGGGGCCCTGTCTGCACCTCGTGACTCAATGGGAGGGCTTCTTTAATAATTAAACTTTGTCTCAAGCTCCCACTCTGCCTGTGACAGGCTCACCACACGTGGTAGAGTTTTCTTGCACAAGACTGTCAGATTGGCCTTGGACTCCACAGATCCCTCAGTGGAGGTCCCTCAGTGGAGTAAACATCCCTCAGTGATGGTCTCCTTTTAATTGCACTCCTTCCCATCTCTTCCACTGATGCTGACAATGTATTGCTCTGAAAGTTTCTGATTATCACACTACCTGACAGCTGTCTTCCAAGGGAAAACAGCAAGTCTTGAACCTGCCCTGCATCATCTGTGACTAGCTCAGTTGTAACCTGACATCTGGAAGCACTTGATGCCATCCCGAGACACGTAACAGTTCAGGGCATTAACATCACCAAGAGCTCATCAAAGTAGAACCAAGTAGACAACAAGTAGAAAAAAGTATCCATACCTTAGAGCAAAGGAGAGCACACTGCAGATACATCGGTCTGCTTTTGTCAGGGAAAAGCTTTTGTAAGTGGACAGTATTAATACTTAATCCCTCTCTGTGGACGCTTACACACTGTGCACCTACCAGTAAAAGTGAAAATAATTTGGAATACACCACTTACATTCTTCACATTCTAGTGAAAAGAAGACACACTCAGAAACCAAACCAAAGATTACCACTCTGTTACCAGGGGAAGTATTATCCTTCTCTGCAATATGCATAAACACCAACATAATAAAATAAATATGTATTTTGCAAAATGAAATGAGACAAAAAGCACAGCAGTATGGAAGAGATACCGAGCCGAAGAATTTGCAGTCCTATGTAACCAGAGTATTTTCCTTCTACTCCTCTTCATTGGAAATGCCTGTTCCATATCAGCCTGTTTCATGAGCATTTTGAGGAATGTTCTTCTCTTGCTCATTCTAGGAAGCATCTATTCATAAAACAAACTCTCAAGAACACACACAGAAAGTGAACATTAAAAGAGAAAGAAGAATACAGAAGATATAATGTCTCCTTCACAAAAGAAACCTTACACTAAAGTTTTAAGCAAGCTGCCTGGCCCACTGATCAGGCCTCGCCTGTTTAAATCCTATTGACCAAATATGTCAGAATACACTACTTCCTTAGGACATGATTCATGCACCTTTTTATTGGGATCTTTCTCAGGGGAAGCAGGTAACAGCTAGCTATTGTAACTATTAAATTAGCATTAGGGCAGTCACAGTCTTGAAGGACTGGGCTTTGATCAGTTCCTGAATACAAACATCTTTCTTTACAGTAGTCACCCTGCATACAGCAATCAAAACATGAAATAAAGTCATTAAATTAGATAGTCTGTTTTCTCAAAAAAGTCTAAAGACAACTAGAAGACATCTCAGTGGCTGCACCAAAAAAGACTAATGCAGAAATGGATTTATATTTTTGTTCTTAAACAAAGTAAAGATAGAAACAAAAAGGTATAATCAAAGAGCCAAAGAAATATTACAGAGAAGGGCTTCCCCGTCCTGTTCTCACAGTGTAAATGTCCTTTCCATGTAACAACTAAGTCAAAAGCATAAGTCACTAGAAAATGGAACTCAATAGCAAATACATGATAGGATAAGGCAAGACTTGATTGGTCTCTTATGAACGAGTGATTTGCCATGATGGTAGCACAATCCACATCTCAACAGTTATGTCTTGTAAACAGTAAAATGAAAGTGCTTAATTCTGTACCTTGTGGTTGTCTACAGATGCTGCTTTCCTACCCTGCCAACAGACAGGGGAGCAGCACACCTGAAGATACAGAGGTTCTTCTCCTGCTGCTCATTATATGTTTTTAAAGTCATTGCTAAAAATTTCTTGATGTGCTGTTTCCCAGTTCTAAAACCCTTTATGTAAAAACCTGAAGAGGGAACAAACCAAAGACACTACATGAAAAGAACACTAGCTAAAGACTTCTGGAAGATTTAATCTCCTCTATCCCTATCTAATGGAAAATGGGCTACATAAACAGAGCAAGCTGATGGCCAGCAGCTAGCTTACAATGCACTTGCAGCTAACAGTGTCCATATCCCACCCTTTATCACCTTTAATGCCAAAGGCTAGGATGACTAGTTGCCACATGAAATTCAAAAGGAAAGCCCACACTGGCACTTTTTCCCGATATACCTATCTCCTGCCTGCTGGTGGGGATGGCCAAGTTCTCAAAACGCTTGGGACATTCCCTCTGCTGCCTGAAATAAGAGATGCTGATGTAAACATGTAATTCATTAAGGAAAGGACAATGATGCAATACAAACTCATTCATTATACTGAGCAGGTCAGAAGCTAACGTGAAAGCTTAGGGTTTGTAAGTCAATTAGCCAGCACAAAGGCAGTCAGCTCTCTCACAAATCCAATTTTTTTTAGAGATCAAGCTTCTGTGCATTCATTTGGAAAACAAGATTCTTCTTCCAAATGCTGCTAGTTTACAGCTCCAGTCTCTTCACAGGTGCCCAGTCCACTCCTCCAAGCGGCAGTCAACCAAATACCATTAGGTTGATTCTAGGCAGCACAGGGGCAATGAGTCTGCAGTAACAATGTTCAGATAACATAGTAGCTTTCACTATAGGAAGAATCCTCCTCAGAGTCCTCACTGTCACAGTTGCTCATTGACAAGATGAAGTAGGTGGTAGAAGGGACACTGTTGTCACTGTCTGTGGCTGGTTTCACCACCACATTCTGTTTCTCTGCATTCAAAACACACAGATACAAAAGTTAGCTGTGACCACTGTACACACAAGTGATAAATTACTACTTGTCTTTGAAACTATATTTTAGCATCTCACTGTCAGTTTGCAGTTAAGTCTTTCAAGCTGGGAAAGACATAGGCCTTTTTCATTTCAGTTTTCAGCATAAAAGAAAAAAAGGAATGGGAGTTATTTGCTTGTTTTCTTAAGTGCTCTAATGTGTTCTGTATGTCTTTTCCTATTAAGGTAACACAGATGAGGAGGAGACATTCTCCACCCCTTCACAGGGACACAACTGGCAATTTCAGTGTCTTGCCAGGTAGGAAAAGGAAAGAAAAAATGTGGTAAGGGACTCTCAAACAAGTACTGATTGTTCAGGACATTTATAGCTTCATCAAAAACTTCATCTATTTAAGACTGCAAGCTATCTTTCTCATGCCAGGGCTACTAAGACTCCTAGAAAGGTTTCTTGGAAAGCCTTGACAGCTTCTTAAGTGCCACTTCCAACATAACTCTTCTTTTAACAGGTGTATTTCTTAGGAATTAATTTTAAATAGACAAATGCTTTTCTTCATTTCAATCAAAATGTTTCCATCACTGCACGAAAAGAGGCACAGAAACCATTTCACCTTCCAGCTGAAGCATGTCACAGTAAATTTAAATGAATTCTTACTGGTCGTTACTTCTGAAGGTAGGCTATGAACTCATTTGCTTTTTGTTTGAACAAGGATGAAGACCATTGGTGTAGCACACAACGGGCTGCAATGAAGGCACCACTTCAGCTAGTGCCCATCAGCTACCTGACCAGACACTTCAGGAGCACTGTGGCACTCTGCCACAGCATCCAATACACAAGGGCTGCCTCAGTTTCTTTACAGAGATAAAAGCAATTCTTGTAGCTGAGCCAGGCAGCCTCTCAGCAACGCAGCACTTCCTGAGGGAATCAGACTGAAAGGGTTACATAGGTTATCGTTTCAGGCTTGAACTAGCACTGCTTAGTGATGTCATTCTATGTCACCATGGCACATCTGAAAGGAATCAAAAGCACCTTTCTTTTGGTAAAAATACAATTTGATATATTGCAAAATTGAGGATCATGCACTCATCTCTATGAAGGGAAAGCAAAACAATTACTTAAGAGAACACAGCAATAGAAATTTAAGGAGTAGCAGGAACAGACATCTACATTTTAGCACCTAGATACCAATGTCAAGTGCTCTAGAAAGACATTTAGAAGAAGGAAGCAGACTAGGAATAACCCACACTGGGGTTTTTATTAAAGCAATCAGCATCACGCACAGTATTTTAGCAATAACTAGGCAAGATGTTATGCCTGTAAGCCACAGTGGCTTTAATTCCACAAATATAAACATGTCAGAGCAACTGTCAGTTCAGCCATACTTACATGATATACCACTGTCTCTTTCAGAGATTTCCTACATAAATCTAGCACACAGAAAAGAATTTGGAGCTTCTTGTCAGGTCTGCTGAGTTTCTGTAATTATGTACTCCACAGCTTAATCAGAAGTGCCTGGTAAATTTTTCAAGGACCATTTTATGTATTTTTGCTTTTATTAAGTGATCTCTTTGAAAGAGCATAACCTTTAGCATGATTAAACTATGTTGTCCCACCAGACTGCCGAGTTCATACTGAAGTCTTTTTCCAAACTTTGTACTAATTTTATTTTACGGTGCAGTAAAGCTAGTTAGTCAAGAGATCTCATTATTATTTTTTTAATGTTTCTGCAGCATTCCCTGAGCATCTTCTTGGTATATAGGTGCCAAAAAAAGTTGTGCAAAACAGATGGTATAAGATATTGTACTCATCATGCCACATCCACCCACCTCTCACCTTTCCGCCCTCTGATAAGGCTTAGGCGATGCTCTTTCATTTCCACATCTAGTTTTTCTACCATCCTGTTTATGCAGTTATCCAGCACCAGAGAGCGTGTCTTTGATTTGATCTCCTGCCTGCAGATAGGGCACTCCACTTTACGTTTTGTCCACTCATTGATACAGTAGGAGCAGAAGCTGTGTGCACAGTTCAGAGTGACTGCCTGTGGAATTCAGCAGAAAGACACTGGTCACAGCATGCTTGCACAGGCACTGTCAAGTAAAAGCATACCGAATACAGGGAAATGTTAGATAAATATTTTGTACAGGGAAAGGGACTGGAGAGCTCAAAGCCTTTAGGGCCTTCTCAGGAGTCACACACAAACCGCCCCCCCCCCCCCCCCCCCCATGCCAGAGGTCAAGCCAGCGTTACAAGTCAGTTAGTGGAGTCACTGTAAGTCACAGCAAGTCAGAAACAGAAAAAAATAATTAATTTTATTACAAGTTATGCCAGTTTAAAAAGGATAAATTATGGAAAAAACTCAGATACTGCAAAATAGCATCTCAATACACTGAGAAACCAGAAACTAAAATTTCAGTTAACTCTTAGCCATTATAACAAGGCTAATTCATCCAGTTTCCCATGGTAAAAATACAATGTAATGAAATTGACCGACTAGCAAAACATGAACAAAAATAACAGTCTACACAACAAGCATAGCCTATTACTTGTCAAATCAAATGAAAACAGACCAATTTCTCAAAGAAAGAGTTTATCTGCCCAATATAAACATCCCAGGACTTGACTGAATACGGTACTTCCCTTCCTTTACTAAACTCTCCATATAGCTAAACTTCAAACAGTCCAACTCTAGTCAGCTTAAAGCAAGATCCACTACAAAATAATTCTTCCCCAAGCAGCTGTCAGCAGCAACTCAGAGCACCAGTTCAAACTCCTACACAAGTGCTCCAAACTTATGTGCACTTTAGGATTAAGCACTCATATTTATGCAGATAGAGACATTAAAGCTGAACTTGCTGTCAAGCAAAGAAGAGTCAGGGCAGACAGAATAGACGTCTGGGTCAACTCTTTCCCATACGAACTCACTGTGGGTCTGTTGGGACTGTTAAATAAGTGAAGTAAAAGAAACGGGCTTAAATATTGGGTTACTAGAGCTATGGAAAGATTCTCAAGTCTCTTTTTTACTGGCAAACCTATGCAGTTTTAAACATACCTCGATAAAGTGCTCAGAACAGATTGTGCACTGCAACTCATTCTCCAACACATCATTCATCTGATTCAACACCTCTTCTTTTTGGGCTCTCACCTTTTCCTTCTCCTCCTGGTGGAAAAGTACATATGGTTGTGTCTCAACAAAGAACAAGGTTTTTCTCAATTGGCAGGAAGTGTATGTGCAAGGGAAGAAAATTATACTGCAAATCTCCACGTGTAAAGTGGAGTGGGTATCACATACACAGATCTGTAATCTCTTTCCTCTTTGTCATCTCAGCAGTACTGAGAATATTCCCACTACGAAGAACTTAGAAGGAAGAACAGCAGCCATTACAAAAATTCCCTTTAGCCTAAAGGAACTACCAGCTGATCAGTCTTTTCAGAATCTTTTTCAACTTGTTCCTGGCAACAGTTTGGCTTTAATCAATATTTCTTTTTGGTGTCTGATATGAAAAGCAGAACACCCAACAGATTAAACATCTCAAATGCTAAAAAAAGGAAGTAATAAAGTTTAAGACACTTACTTGCATTTAACAACCTAATAATCTTTTTGTTTGCTTGCTGAGAGTTGAATTAGTCTGATTAGGCTAGGTACCTGCTCTAACTTGTAAAAATAACAGGAAAATTCTTCTAATTGAGAGCTATAATTGAAACAGCAACAAATTTCCAAAGATGACATTAAAAAACAAAGCACGCTGTCAGTGGTGGATAATGTGATAATTTCCAAAATTAAGACACAGGAAAGGAGCTCCTAAATTATTTTCCGCTCATCACTTTATGTCAAGGGCAGGAAGAACCATGGTTTATCTCATTCATTAGTCAAATTCCATGTTGGTTCAGTCCTACACTCCCTTATAGAACTGCTGTCACAATGCAGTTTTACTTAAATGCACTTTAACTGAAAATGAAGCACCTCACTTTTCAAACACTTTTGGTTTGTTGGTGGATTTTTTTTCCTGTTATTTCTGGTTTGATTTTTGTTTGTTTGTTTTTCAAGGAAAGGGTGCAATGGGCTCGTCTGTCTTCCAAAACACACTGTTCAGGTGCTTTGGGCTTTCTTTATGATTGAGAAAGATCGCATAACAACTGTTCAATTCAACACCAATTTATAAAAAGGACAAGGTGCCTTCTCCCCTAGTGTCAGCTGCCACCTCAAAACACAGAAATTTTGCAATATAGTAGGCCAGGCAGAGCCAAGACAAATGTTAAATAAGCCATCTTGTCTGCTCATGCAGCATATTGTGTTTCATTTATGAATAAAATTAAGAATGCAGTTATTTCTTACCTTGGTTTCTTCCAATTCTTTGTTCTTGGCTTGAATTATCTCCTCAAAATCTCTTTTATTACGATTCAGTTCTTCCATCAAAGCATGATGCTGTAACAATACCATTCCAGAAGTTATAAGAGTACTGTTATAAACTATCCTATTAAAGATATGTGGTCATAGTTATAAGGCTCAGCACACTCATTTCTCCTATTCTCCTCCTAGAAGAGCAACACGTATAAGTTCAGGTGTTAAGGTAGTTTATCCTTAACTTAAAATTGGAATGCACTGCTAGTTATTTAGGATCTTCCCAGTGCCATCACACTTTGTATTCCATCTTTCAGTTTATTCTTTCACTTCAGTTAGGTTTTTCAGTCACCTAAGGCAAAGTCCTTGTCTTCTACCAAGAAGTCAAAACACTTGGAAAGATTTAAATATCTGAATTACACAGTTAGACCAAACCTAGACTCATAATCACTTGCCTCTTGCAGGACCTGGGCCAGCTGCTCCTTCAGATTTTCCTCCCCATGTTGACACTTTTCTCCCTGGGTGGGGTAAGAAGTGGGGGGGAAAAAAAGAGACTTGAAGAACATAAGAGACTGAAAATTACTACCCTGCACACTCTCTTTAGAGGATATGCTTAAAGAAACAATACTGATTTTCAACAAATGGCAAGATGTTCCACTCTACGGTTACATGTGTACAACAGAAATTTAAGCTATCATTTATGTGATGAGTTAAAATGGATATATCATTTACAGTTCCATATTTGGAATATCTCCACATTATTCTAGCTCAAAAGGCACCAGCATATTCATAGAAGCAAAGAGATCAGCAACAGCTTAAAAGCTGCAACTCTGATTTGAGTACATTCAAAGACTTCAGAGATACCTAAAGCTCCACATAAATGTCCCATTGTTTCTAAGGGCACAACTCCAAACCTTCTGTATTTCTGATACTGGTATCTTGCCTTTAGCAGTAGACTTTAAGGAAGTAACTAATAAATTATTAGACTCACTCCAAGATGAATCCGCACCTTCTTTAAACCAGATTTTGATTTCAAATTCAAACAGATTTTGGTCTGTTACCAAAAAAGCAACTTATTGCATATACTTACTGCTTAAAGGTACTTACAGATTGCAAGAGAGGGTTTTTTGAAAGCAGGAAAATAATCTCCTTCCCCCTAGGGATTAAGGCATGCAGTATTTCATTGACTCTAAAAACAGTGCACTTGCCAGGCAAACTGGGCTTTATTTCTGCCATATACTGAGAGAAATTCACACTTAAAGTGATTACTTTTCAACTTGTCCTCTCTATAAGCATGAGAGATCAGGTTATGGCTTTCATTTTTTTATTTAAAAACATGGTTTTTTACCAACTGAAATGCTTTATTTTGCACCTTTTTCTGAACTCCCCATGCAGCCAAATCTCTTCTGTCTCTGCACTTTCTTTTGGTATGTGCACTGTGTTACATGCTAAGTTAAATACTTCCACAAAAACTTTCACAGGGGTAAATCACACAAGCACTATTTTTGTTATTGTACAGTTCAAGAGCTGTTTTTGATCAATGCCTTATACAAGGCATTCCATCAAAGTGAAGACACAGGCCAAAATTATTGCCACCATTATACCTCTAGCTTCTGCTGCTCTTTACATAATGTCCTCTCCAGCTCTTCCACCTGCTGCTGCTGATGCTCTTGTTCCATGCAGAGCTGGTTCTGCAACGCCTGCAGCTCCTGCTCCATTACTAGCATCTCCTTCTGATCAGACTTCCTGCATTTCTGCTTCACATTCAGAACTGCAGTCTGCTTCTCCTGCACTTTGACCTTTAATTTCATTGTATCTTCCAGAGATTTCTTCAGCTTTTTCAAGCCAGTCCATGACTCTACATGACCAGAGCCTTTCTGGTCCTTCTGGGCGACAGCCACAGCTTTCCTGGAGTGAACAGGGCTACCATGCACTGGATCACTATACCCCTCACTGGGCCCAGGAGCAGGCAGCTTGACATCCATCTTCTCTGTTAGCCGTCTGGCCTCTTCTGCCTGTACCCATGGTTTATCAAAAGGTTCATTGGCACAGGACATTCTGTCTCTTTTGCATTTGGAGTTTGAGAGGCTCTCTGATTCACATGTCTCCAATTCCTCCAAACTAAATTTACGTTTAGGTCTTGAACACTTAGCTTTCCCCAGGTCACTTCTTTGGGCTAAAAAGGGTCTAATTTTCTCCCATTCGTCTTTAATTACTTCGTACTCATATTCAGCAGTCTCTCTGTTTTCCAAAGGCACTCCCAACTCAATACGGTCTCCTTCAGCAATCGGATAGACTTTTGATGGATCCAGGCGCTGTTTATTAAGCCAAACTCCATTTAGACTCTGCCAATAAACACAGAACCACCAAAATTTAATATGTAGTTACAGCATCCTCTGAAAGTCATTTCTGGCAATTGTAAATAAACACAGCCAACCTCTTCAGTGCTTCAATCAGAACAAGCCACCTCTTCAAATAAACCGTGTAATATCCAGTTTATTGGCTCAGTGTTGCATTTCTTACAGTTACTGCACTGTATTATTTACTGCACATTATTCTTGCATTACAGATTTTGTGAATAAGCACCAAGAACAACATTTTGACATATGTACTTGTGCAGAAAGAAAATAATGAACTCTGAGGGAAAAAACCTGCACAAAAGCTTCAGAAATAAGAACTAAATAATAAAGACTCCACAATAGATCATTGTAATGAACATAGAATACTACAATAATTATTCCTGACAATTAATGTTACCTGAAATTACAGGGAAAAAAATAGGAAATAAAAAGAAGCATTGGCTATATGCCTTGAAGAACACAAAGTTTTTCATAAATACAAGGAGACTGTAAAGAAGGAAAATGTTCATCCAGAGATAATGTTCAAAACACAAAATGGTTTCAAAATTAGCTCAAGAAAGTTTTCAAAACCAGCAAAACTGGTCTGTGCTCATGATGAACTGCAGAAACACTAGAAACTGACATATCTCAATGAGAATCAATGAAACAAGCTGACCAACTGGTCAACAGTGAAAAGAGACAGGAAGTGTTAATAGATAATCTAGGGTAGATGTTTCTTATCATTCAATAACATTAGGTTTTCAAATTTATACATGTAGTACAAGTTTAAGAGCAGTGTAATTTTAATAGTAGCCACTCCATTCTTTTCCAACTAATCTGGTGTCTACCCAAATATCTTTCAAATCTGCATGACATGTTGAACATTTTTGTCCTACCAGTGCTGTTTTACAGCAAATGACTCATTTTACTGTTTTCAGACTGAATCAGAAAGTGATCATGATATAAAAAACAGAAGTCAAAGTGAGATCCCGTTGAGGACTCTGACATCAACATTTTATCCTAATCAGCTGAGAACTTTCAGGAGAAACTCATTTGAACACAACATGAAGCATGGCTTTTCTAATACTAGATTCATGTTGAAGTTGATTATAATCAAAGCAATTGTATCACTACAACGAGTTGCACTTTATCTTTTCATTAGCACTACAAGAATGTTATCCTTTTGAAAAGATAAAACTCTGTATCAAAATTCATATAGGATATTTTTTAAGAAAGCGACACCCAACAGGTTCACAGACTGCAAAGTGCCCTTGGCTAGGCCACACTGGTCTGAAAAATGTTAAACTAAGAGGTAGATCTACATACAGAAAGTAATCCAGTTTGCATCCCAACTGCAGCAGACTGAAGTTTCCTGCTGGAAGTGCACAACAGGCAAGACACAATCCCTTCTATCCCACTTATGCTGTATCATACACTGCTAGATCCAAAACAATGGATTCTATTCAATGTATCTCAGGAGTATACCTTGTTATCCTTGACAGTCCACTGCCCTTCTGCATTCTGCTGGAAGACACAGTGCTTACGAGAGATCATCAAGGGACAGGTTTTTGACACCAGCTGGTACGTGATATCTAATCCTCGGCCAACAGTCACCTAAAAATAAAGTAGCATAGTTACTGCAATCAGTAATGACATGGTAAATTCAGTTTATGGCATTTCAATTTAAGTACAGCAAAACTCTATATCAGTATCTTATGGTTATTTCCAAAAGGTCTGGCATAATATGATTTTTTTTTCATTTAATTTTAAGAGTATATAGAAAATAGAAGCTTACAAAGTTTGAAGTATTATCTTTCTCTCCCACTGAGGAAATTTTAATTTCTCTGAGGCACATAACAACCTTGGTTTCATGGAACTCTTCCTCAGCAGCAAAGCTGCTCAAAGCCACTCAGAAACCATCTCTGTCCCAGCTCAGTCATTACCTAACCAAATACCATTTCTTCAAACCAGCACTATTGTGTGTGGGTCTCAAGATTACTTCTTAACTTCTTCTTTTGCTAGTTGCATCTGTTCAACCATTTGTGAACAGAAAAGATACAGGAAAAAACAGCCCAGAAAACTGCCATCAAAAAAAGTGCACACTCAACATTGTCCTAAATACACAGTACTCTTGTAAATCACACCATCAATCTTATGGCTCAGAATCTAAGCTACATGCAGCTCATAATCAGTAGTAAAAGTGATCTAAGTAACTGCATTAGACTAATACTATCTTCTGGAAGAAGGGACATAATTTAATTGTACTATTGCTCAGTATCTTTTTAAATCTCATCTAATTTCAGATTGCCATTTAAAGCACTGCTCTCCCTCCCTCTGCTGCCTCCTCTGCACACTTCTCTTAATTAATCTGCATTACCTGAGCAGTTCTCACCTTGAGTTTAGAGCAAGAATTCAGACCCCCATGCCATAACCAAAAGCAAGGAAGCAAACTAAGATAATAAAAGCAAACACGTAAGTGCCTACCTCTTAAATGTTTCATATAGTTTTCTGTCAGCACGGATTGCATACGCAAGAGGTACAGAAACTCAAATGGATAAAGACTCCCTTCTTCATGAGAATTCAAACATAAAATCAGCTTTGCATTTGTCCCTGCAGTGGCATCCTCAGGGCCCAGTCACACACATCTGCAGGACCTCACATACCAATATGAGTGAGAGCAAGCAGGGGCAGTCATAAAATTTCCCCTTGATCAAGCTCATTTAGCAAACAGGGGTCCAAGATGTTACCACTCACCTGCTGGAGTTCAGTGCTGCTCACAGCAGTACCAGCAAATCACATCCCATCCCCACATATAAGCAGTGTCCTTTAGCACCAAAGTGGTCACAGCACCAAGCCTGATAGTGTTCAAAAAGTGTTTTGACAACATCTTCAGGCATCCTTAGACTCACACCAGAACTGGACTCCTCCACTGCATTTCAGTCCCTGTGTGCAATCTTACAGCTCACTGAACAGCAATTAGTTATGAAAGGAGAGAAACATTTTGACTGGAAAAGACTTTTAAGATTACCAAGTCCATTCCGGTGATTCTTAGGGCTGTCCTGTACAGAGTCAGGAGTTGGACTCGGTGATCCCTGTCGGTCCCTATCAGCTCAGGATATTCTATGATTATGATTTAAATCTCCAGGCAAAGCAGTTTGTACTCTGTGGCCTGGCACACCTACAGCACCTCCCTGCTGCAAATGACAACCACTGTGCATATAATCAGAACAGTAACATGCCAAACTGGATTCCCTGCATAATTATCAGTGCCCTGGCTGCAAGTTGTTACCTTCAGTCCTTCACCGAGGAGATCTGCACACCTCAGGGCTTCAAATCCACAGTGGGAGAGTAACAAAAGCATACGTTTGGATGGGTGCCTTTTGCGGTGTTTGAGCGCAAGGCCTTGGCCACAGCATCACCCATACCACCTGATTTTGACCACCAGAACAGCACTCCTTTTACACTGCCCCAACGTCATCACACGTCTTTGCCTGCTGGGTTTTAAAGAAGAGTACCAGGGCCCATTTTTCAATGTTAAAAACACGATCGCTAAGAAAACGGCTATTCCTGTACCGCACCAAAACAATTTAAAAGTGACCTCATTTACACCTGAATACCTTATGCCTTATTTACGGTTAACTTCGCCAAAAGCATCACCTCGTTAATTAGGCTATGGCTCCCTTCGTCCTCACTTATGTTACCGTCACACGAACAACTCTATCTAAATACGACATAAGAATGTAAAGATATAAACAAGCGAAGGCTTGGCCGAGGCCACTCCAGCGCCTGGCTCCGTCTTTCACGCCCTGGGGCGTTACCGGGGCTGAATGGCGCCCGCCCGGGCGGCCCCTCCGAACGGCCACGAACGGAGGCTGCTCCTTAAGCGGGACAAGGCGGTGCTTTTTCCTCCTGGGAAGCGCTGTAAGAAACCAGGAGACCCCACCAAACTGCGCCCCGAGAGCCGTGCCCGCCCTCCCGCCCACTCCGAGGGGTCGGAGCCCGGTGCGGCTCACCTGCGTGCCGGCCTCCAGCAGGAGCCAGTCGCCGCTGGCCCCGACTCGGCGGAGGCACCAGGCCAGGCACGGCACGCCGCGCACCGCCATGGCGCCCGCCCGCCGGACCGGCGGGAGCGCTCTCTGCGGCGGGGCGGGGCGGCGCTGGCAGGGGCCGGGACGGGACGGGCCGGGCCGGGCCGGGCCGGGGCCCGTCCGAGCCCAAGCTGCGACCGGAGCTTGCGCGTGCGCCGTAGGACCGCGGGGACGACCGCGCGGCGCTTTCCCGCAGTCCCGCCGCGCTCCGTCGTGTCTGTCCCGCCTCCTCCTCGTACCGCCCCTTCCGGGCGCCCCGGCGCTGCCATCCGCCGTGCGGCACCATGGCTGCGGCCGCCCGGCTGCGGCGGCGGCTGCTGCTGGAGGTGCCGTGGCGCTGGCGCTGCAGCCCCCGCCGCGACGGTGCCGCCTGCCCGTCGGCGGGGCAGATCCGCGCCGCCTTCCTGCGCTTCTTCGAGGAGCGCCACGGCCACCGCCGCCTGCCCTCGGCCCCCGTGCGGCCCCGCGGCGACCCGCGTCTCCTCTTCGTCAATGCGGGCATGAACCAGGTGCTCTTCCCTGTCCTGCACCTCCCCTCCTCCGGCTCGCCGGCGCTTCCGCATCTCAGAGGAGCGCCGCCCGGCTCGGGGTGTCCCCTGCCGAGATCTCCGGCGTTGCTCTGGACTCCCCGCGCCGCCGTCCTCCTGGACGCCTCTCACTAGTGCCGTAGTGCTGTGCGAGTCTCCCTCGCTGGCGGTAGTTAAGAACTGTCTCAACGCAATCCTGTGCCGGGTGTTCTAGAACGAACTTGCTTAAGCAGGGAGGTTGGACCAGATGACCCACTGTGGTCCCTTCCAACCTGACCCATTCTGTGTATCGGGAGCCCCAGGCACAGGCTCACTGCACTAGGTGGCATCTGTCCATAGCGGGTACAGATGCCGCCTAGGCATCTGTAGGAATGCCTACACCTAGGCATCTAGAGCGTGTGTCTTTCATTTCCAGTTCAAGCCCATTTTCCTGGGCACGGTGCACCCCCGGAGTGAGCTGGCCCAGTACCGGCGGGTGGTGAACAGCCAGAAGTGTGTGCGTGCAGGAGGGAAGCACAACGATCTGGAGGATGTAGGCCGAGATACTTACCATCACACGTTCTTTGAGATGCTGGGGAACTGGTCCTTTGGGGATTACTTTAAGGTGAGGTGATAGTAGTGAACCCTTTCTAGGGGAAAACATAACCTGCCTTTCAGAGCTTTGCTGTAGTGCCATAGGAGTGTGTACAGAAGGCATTTTGGTAAGATCCAGATTCATTACTGGGGGCTCTGTGGCCGGGAACAGAGGTGGTGAGCTCATGGGCTCTATTGCTGAATGTGTCCTGCAGACTCTGAAAGCACTCAGCCTGCCAAAGCTGTGACCAACATGTAAAAATAAAAGTTTTCTGTGAGAATGCCAGTGTTAACCACTTAATATGGTGTAAAGAGGTTACCAGCTCATTTAAGGTTTATTACTAGAAGGTTTGAAAAGGGTAGAAGGATAAAGGATGCTAAGCTTTTTAGGTGGCATATAGATTTTTTCTTTGGAAATTAAATAATCCATGTAACTCTGCCAGTAAGCACGTAGATGCACACCATGCTGAAAGGCTCACAACATTTTAGGAATGTCAGTTTTCCACTGGCAGCAGTGAGCTATCTCATTCTCCTGACCTTCATCCTTGCTCTTTGCAATATGTCTGAAAATTAGAAAGGGAGAGAAACAGCTGAAATGAACTTCTTTGTTGTTTGATTCCCATTCTAAAGACTCTGAATTACTGTGCTTCATTTATGTTCCCTACCTGCTCAGGAGGAGGCATGTAGCATGGCCTGGGAGCTCTTGACAGAGGTCTATGAGATCCCCAGAGATCGTCTCTATGTCACCTACTTTGGTGGAGACCCCTCACTGGGGCTGAGCGCAGATGAGGAGTGCAGGGATGTGTGGCTCCACCTGGGGTAAGTGTGTCGGAGAAGAGGTGCTGACATTTTACTTTCCACAGTCTTGCATTTGCTGTTTAGTTGATCAGCTGTAGGGGCCAGAGAGTATGTTTTACCATTTTGTTTCTGGTTTCTTTGGGCTGTTAAAAGTCAGCTGGGCTCTGAACTCGGTGGGTCTCTTGAACTTTTGGTTCATTCTTAGGTAGTATCAGTGGGGGTGGGTATGTGCCTAAAACTGGCTGGCCTGGATGAAGTATGTACAGGATCTCCAATGTTCTCTGAAAGCAGGCAATGTCTGCTTCAGTGAGAGGGTGCAGAGAGCACTGCTGTGTTTGGGGATCTTGTTCCAGCTGTATGTAGGCTTTGAACCCAAGGCAGGCAGGTCTGTGCCACTGATGGTGTTCAGGTCTTGCCTCTGCTCCAAGGAGCAAGGTGCTCCACAGACCCAGTGGAGAGCCTGTCTTGATCAGCAGGGCCAGGCTGTGTTTGCCCGTCATTCTGGGCTGAGACTAGGGTCCTGTGTGGTTTGGCTCACTTAGTCTCACTAAGGAGAGTAATTCTGTGTGAACAGAAGGAAGCAAAGGAAGTAGAGAAGCAGAGGAATTCTGATGTGTTTCCTTTTTGAGTCTGTAGAAGGAAGAAAGGATTCCTTTCTTCCAGCTTTCTTTGTGATCTAGGTTACTGTGTGGTTTGTGTGTATGCCTCAGCACTGTTATCTGCCTTTCCAGGGTTCCTGCCAGTCACGTGCTTCCTTTCCCATTGAAGGATAACTTCTGGGAGATGGGGGACACAGGTCCTTGTGGTCCCTGCACAGAGATCCACTATGACCACGTGGGTGGTGGCAGAAATGCTGCAGCACTGGTGAACCAGGGCAGCCCCGATGTAGTGGAGATCTGGAACTTGGTTTTCATGCAGTACAGCAGGTACCAAGCATCTCATCTGAACTCCAGAGCCTTTCCCCCTAGCCTGACTCCAAAATCACGGGTATATTCTCAGACTTATCACTGTTTTCCAGAAGGTGGCAATACCAAGACCAGGAGCAAGAGAGAAACTGTGGAGATTTGCCCAGCATGGCTCTTGGTCCCCTTTGCTTTAAATCCCTGTCTTCTTTAACCTTCACTGCCTATTCTCCCTTAATGCTGCATTCCAGAGATCTCTTGAGGTCTGCAGCAGTCTGGAAGAGGAGGAGAAGGCCTTTTTCCTTACATTGCAGCTTATCCTACATTGCATTTTCCTTACATTGCAGCGTATACTATGTGATGGTCAGATAATGGCTGCTTGACAGGGCCAAGGCAGGCTGCTGTCACTCTTCTCCCTGAGCTTCCTTATGCTGGGTCACCCAATGTTTCCATCTCCTGTCACTTTCCCATTCTCTTTGATTCACCTGTTCCTTATTTTTGCCCATGAACTGATCCTTGCTTCTCTTTTGCCTTTTATTTTTCCCGCCTGGCTGACAGAGAGGTGGAGGGGAATCTCCTTCCCTTGCCGCAGCACCATGTGGATACAGGAATGGGTCTGGAAAGACTGGTGACAGTTCTGCAGAACAAACGTTCCAGCTATGACACAGATCTCTTCACTCCGATCTTGGATGCTATTCACAAGGTGATGGTGCTTCTGCTCAGAGAAAAAGCTCACAGCTCAACAAAAGCTCCTTGAACACAGACTGCTTGCTGGGTAGCATAGTACAGTCTTCTCTGAGCAGTTACTGAGCAGTGTCTCGAGACAGGAGATTATGTCCTGCCAGGTCCAATGCAGTGTTCTAGAAAAAAGGGAGAATTCCAGGCTGGAAATCCGCTGGAATTTCAGCACTGCAGATTCATTTTTCCTTCAAAGTGTTTTAAGTTTCTCAGTGCTAGGGCATTGGCTGACCTGTGCTAGTTACAGAAGTCTTGGTCTGTAGTGCCATGGAAGGATTAAATGAGTACCTCTTAGGTGCACGGGGTTCAGAGGTACTTGAAAAACATGATGTCAGGCATAGCTGTCTGCCTCTTGTGTTGAAACTTCTTCTGCAGCCGTTATTTTCTGCTGATTTGTCTCTCTACTTTCTCTTTTAGGTCTGCAGGGCACCCAGATACCAGGGTTTGGTCGGGAATGCTGATGTTGGGCGTGTGAACATGGCCTACCGCGTGGTGGCAGATCATGTGCGCACCCTGTGCGTGTGCATCACTGATGGCATCTACCCAGGCTTCTCTGGAGCAGAGTAAGGACGTAAGGAGATGGCATGAGGTGGAGGAAGTTAGGTCTAGAAAGGAATATGAACAGCCAGGGAAGAGGTTTTAATGTGTGGGCCCCAGATAGGGAGTACATGAGCTTTTGGGGAGACAGGAAGATGAGAGCCAGGAAGGGGTTCCAATCTGCAGACTTCCCCTTGGATGGGTGTAGAGTGTTGGGAGCAGCTGGCCTGTGCTGATGAATCAGACTAGATGAGCTGGGGGATGCTGGATGTGGCAGCTGGGCAGGGATGCTCACATGGCTGCCTGAGGAATCCTGCTGTGTTTCCAGACTGGTGCTGCGTCGGATCCTGCGCAGGGCTGTACGCTTTTGCTCTGAAGTTCTACAGGCTCCACCTGGGCTCCTGGCCTCCCTGGTGCCTACCGTCGTGGAAGTGCTGGTGAGTAAAACTGCTGTCTTGGGGGGAAAAAGGTCATCACACATCCTATTCAGCCCCATGTCCATTTTCTGCATACTGTCAGGAGTCAATTTTGGATGGGAAGGAGCTCCAGGGAGGTGTTACCTGATGCTATGCATTCCAGCATTAAAAACCTCTTGTCCCTATTATCACTTGTGATGGGAGGGAGGCGGTGTAATGACATCAGTGCTACAGTCAGCACAAGCATGTGTTAGTGTATGCAAGTAACCTCTATAATGTTTGTGATATGCTGTGAGATCCCCCGAGGAAGATGCTGAGGGTGTTATCACTAACTGAGGCTCACTTCCACAGGGAGATGCTTATCCAGAGCTGACAAGGAATGCCAACCAGGTGAGCAATGTCGAATCCCCTTGTCTCATTATCTTCGTGAAGCACTGCTCTCAAGCCCAGAAATCAGCCCGCCCTTGGGACCTAGCTGGAGGAGTTTGCGTAGCCTCCTCCGCAACCGTGTTGTCATGGGTGGACTGAGATGTTCTGGGCACAAGTGTCTGTGGCAGATTTCCATATGGTCCACTAGGTCCTTACCAGGGACTGCATGTGCTATGTAAGGCGGCTGTTGCTCTAAAAAAGCTACGGTAGCTTTTTTGGTTGAGTGCAAATACA